GCCTGGGGGAAACTGAAGCTACCCACCGACCCGGACTCTGGGACCTGCCGCGTGGGGGCGCTCCCAAGCAGACCCGGCGGCAGCCCAGTCAGGGACGCACAAGCCCTCTACCGCCCCGCGGAAAAAACCCGGCGGCGGATTTTCTGGAAGGCAGCAGCAAGAGTGAATGGGTGTTCTTCAATGAACTCACACTGACAGAATTTGGCTTCTAGGACCCAAAGCCGACAGCCTGGCCCCCACTCAGATGCTTGGCCCGCCGCGCCCGCGCCCCCCATTCCACCCTTGGCGAAGGGGCCTGGCGTCCCCTGCCCGCCGGGGAGGGAGAGCGGCGCGGGGAGGAAGGGACTCCAGGACTGACCCCTGACCGCGGGCGGGGACCGACAGCCGCAAGCCGGACCGGGCGTCGCAGGAAGGCGGGCATCGCCCCGGGCCTGGGCACCCGCGTGAAGTGCCACTCGGTCTTGGCGCCGCTTCTGGCCGATGCGCCGGACTCCAAACGGGCCTTGAGCCCTCTTTTCGTTTGAACAAGATCCCCAGTGAGCCCGCGGCCTCCAAACCGTTTTCTCGTGAGGGCCCTCCAGGCCGCTGCGTGGGTCGGAAGCAAAAGGCCCGAGGGGCGGAGGGATAGTGGTGGCCCCAGGGGGACCCTGCTGCTACGGCCCTTGGGGGCCTGTGACCGTGCCAGCCACGTGCTGCGCGGGCGACGCTCCGTTTCTCGCTGTTTCAGGAGGGCGGCCACCCAGAGCCCAGTGCCCTGCAACCTCGCCCGGGCTTAGGGCGCCGCTGGACCATTGTCTGAAACGGAGAATTCATGTGAGCAGAATTCCCGCGCCTTGACCGGTCTCAAACTTTGGGCAACACAGAAAACCGTGGAGTGCGGGAGTTTGCAAATACCCCGCTGCGTCCGCGCAGCCGCAACAGAACCCGAGGGTGCGAGTGGCAGGCGGGGTCGAGGGCAGTGGGGAGGCGACCGGTGCCTCAGCAGACACCCGCCCTGCGCTACTTGCCCGCATTCAACGAAACGCGCCGCTGAAGCCCACGCGCGAGGCACGGCGGGAAGCGAGGGCTCCAGGACCGCGGCCCGTACACCCTGGGCTCCGGGAGAGCGGATGCCCCCGCCTCCCTACCCGCAGGGCGCCCCAGAGCTCTGGAGTCCTGAGTGAGGAGCTGCGGGAAAGGCCTGCGACGGGCAATGCCAGGGTCTGAGTCTGCGTCGGGGATTTCTGCAGTCTTTACAGGTTGGAAAAATAAAATTTTAAAGAAAAAAAAAGGTTCTGGTCCTCTGGTTTGGCACTGAACCGCCCCTCTCCCTTCTCCGCTGGCGCTGGAAATAGCCGGTAAGGATCTCTTTAGCCTTAGATCACCCTCTTCTCACTGAAATGGCCCCCACCCAAAATCAGGGAAGCCCTTGGGAGGCTGGTGCGGCTGCTTTCCCCCTTTTCTCTAAGAGTCCCCCGTGTGGGCGATGTGCCGACTCTGGGGAGGGCAGTGGGTGCCATCTGTGAGAGCCTCCAGCCTTGTTCTGGGCAGCTTCCGGCCCAATTCCAGACACAAAGGCCCCAGACTGTCCCTGACAAGAGTCGAGGGTAAAAGCATTCTGCCAGTGTGAACTCATTAGAGCATATCCATTCATCCCTACTGCTGCTTTCTAGAAAGTCCCATCCCAGGGGCCTTCCAGCACACCTTGGAGGTGAAAGAAAACATTTCAATGAAGCCCAGGCTTCCACAAAACTTTTCTCCTCCCCAGCAACGGAGCTTCTATCTGTGCTTGATGGAACACTGAGTGCAGGCCTCTCAAGTATGCCTTAGGGTAGGAAGGAGTACCGGGTTCGTGAATTAGGGTGGGGTAAGTCCAAGGCTCTCGGTGCCTGCAGGCCTCTCCAGCAGCTGCTCTGAGCACTGGAACTAGGGGCTGAGATTGTCTTAGGATCAGGCTGGTATCTATCAAAGCTTCATCCAGCCATCTCCCAAGTCCTCTGTCTTGTGGCAAAGACTATGGG